GAAGCTGGTGGGAAAGTTCCCACCAACTTATTTGGAATAGCGTGACCAACGCTGGGTGCTTTGAATAAACGTCCTGAAGTCTTACCATCTTTGCAAAGGCAAAATGGGTTTTCAGTGAATGACATATTTTAACCTGCAGCCTTTATCCCCTCCAGCTGGTACTGTACAAAGGCAGTTCAGTACTTGCATTGAGACACCTCTAATGAGCCTGCAGCTAGTGCAGAAAGTGGTGTTGGAGGAATGTACCTCCTGAAATCTTTTCCTTTTTCATTCCCTTAATGTGTCTGAAATCTTTCTATAAGCTTATGTTGCTTGAGGTGTTCCTAGTCTAAACAGATTAATAAAAAAACTATAAAAGAAACCCCTCCACATTGCACCTAGACAACTGAATGTCATGGTCTGTCTCTTGTCAGAGTCCTTAGCTGGTTGTGGTATTAAAATGATCTATGTGCATTCTAGTCAAACAGTAGCAGCTGATGAGCATGGCAGTCAAAAGTTGGGCCAAAGAAAGAAAGAGGATCACTGGAAGGAAGAGAAGTAACTTGCAGAATTCTCATCTTTGGAGGAAGTCCGTTTCATGTAGTCCACCTGCAACTTCTTAAACCTTCTGGAGGTTTCTGAGAGTGATGACCTCAGAAAAAAATGTTGAAAATTGTTCTTCTGGGCAGTGATAAGGTAAAAAGGTAGTTCTGTGTGACCTCAAGGCTTATTTCTTCTTACTGGACAAAGTTGCACCTAGTATGGAGAACACACCATTTCTGAGCAGTGCTATGTACTGTGAACATGCCTATAGTTTTTATTTCATTTCCAGCATGGGACAATATTTGGTGCTGAAGAAAAAAAAGAGTAAGGAATGGGGCAAATGTATTTTCTTTGCAGTTACTTATTTGTGGCTTGGCAACTTTCTTACGATAGAGGTGTTGGTCTTTTTGTAGGTACAGTAGACATTTGGAAAGAAGTGGAATTAAAGTAATATTGGCTGTCATCACTCAACCTGATTTTACATAAGTATAATTGTCAGGAAATTATTTTGCAGGGGTTTAGAATGGCTATACTCAAATTTTAGTAAGGCTACATAACTGGGACCTGTGTCAGGAAGTCTCATGAGTCAAGTCTTGATTGTGACTTTCCCATTCTGCATATGCATAATGAAGTGCACAACAATACTTCTCAGAAAATGCACTGTAGTAGTAATCTAATATCCATGTATGTAGCTTCTCATAATTTTTTAATACCTCATTTTGATTATACTGAATAAAGACATTCTTGTGGAGAGTTCTTCTGGTTTTGTTCTCGTCTCCAACACTGTGAGACAGGCACTCATTTTCAACCAGTAGGACAGCCCTAAGAGCACTTAAATTTGTAATTAACTGTTTTAGTTGGTAATTTATACGGTTTTACTGAATCCTGTGTTAGACTGTGCTATGGATGAATTACTGTTTACTGTGTAAACTTACCTAAATGGTTTGGTTTTCTGGGTAATAGTTCTCTGTGGTGCTATGTATCTGCTGTAGACAAATGCTTAGCTTTTGTGTATCTGTTCATGTAATTAGATTATATCATAAAGCATTTACGTCATGGAAGTTTAACAGTGACTTTGGTGTGTGCTTCTCTGCCTTCCTGTCAAATATTTTTTGCATGCTGCTTTTACGCTTGAGGACCTGTGAGGCATAACCAGGCTGGTCTCTTGTTGAATGATCTCCAGGATTCTTGTGTCATATTGAGAAGTGCTACAGAGGTGTCATAAATGTTTCTGGATCTTGAACAAAACATTTTCTTTCTCTGAAGTCTCTAGAAGCTCGTGGCGATGAAAATCTGTCTGCTTGCAATTCCAATCTATTCAGTTTGCAGTTGCTGGGGATGTAATTGCACTGGTGCCTTTAACTAACAGTCTTCAGTTGTAGACAAGGCTAGCATTGTTAATGATTTGTATTAAAAAAATGAAGTATTTCTAGCTTTTTTTTTTTACATATAATGAATTAGACACTTTGGTTTCTGTTCAAGTATGTCCAGCTTTCATAATGGGGCACAATGGGTGTTAATTCTGGGTTTGGAGTTGCTTGTGCCTACAAGGAGTTGCTTCCAGCTGCGAATTTTGTGTTGAGTCATATTTTTCCATTTTTTATGTAAATCAGGTTCATCTTGAAATGCATTTGACACTTTCTGTGGTATCTATGTTAGCACTGAGCTATAGTTGCTCACAAGACTTTCATGTGACTAAGAAAGCCATGTGAAGCTATGGGACAGTTGTGTGAGCCTGCGCAGCTTCTGATTGTTATAGTTCTTACCCTGATTTTGGTTCGGGGTGGTTTTGCAATGTTTGTAATAGTTGGAGTGTTGGGTGGAAAACAATGAAAAATACTATTTCCTTCCTGTTGTTACTGTCCTGTTTAAAGTTTACTGTCTAAAAAAAATCAGAAGGTGTGCTCAATAGAAAGATGAACTTAGGCTGTTTCTTGTGAAGGAGGTGTGTTTGGAGCTGTTGGGATATTGTGGGCAATAACACTTGGTTTTTAATATGTAGAACTGTAATTACTCACTTTCTCAGAAGTTTGCCGAAGCAGTCTCCTGTTATTGTTAGTTGGTTTCATTTCCTAGTTTACATTTGATGTTTCTAAGATTACTTATGTGTACCATCGAATGCTACAGGCATATCGGTGCACAGGTAAAGGGACATTCCTTTTCACAGTATTAGTTTTTATCCTTCTGTTCCTTACACACACTGAGCAAATATATGAATGAAAGGTTTTGCAAGCAAAATATGTTAGCTAGTAAGAAATGCGTTACTACCCCTTTTGCCAGAAAAGAGCAATTGTTTAAAAAGATAAGGAGGGTTGCATTTCAACCATGGCATGTTACACAAAGGCCACGAGATGTCAGTGGAGACCCCAGTCTGAGAGCAGATTTGGGATAAATCAGTGAAACGTATGAAATGGGGACAGAATTATGTATTTCTAATGATGCTTAGGCTATTGCTGGTTTTGACCTATTTTATATTCCTAGCCTGATTATTTCCTAATCAGTGAAATGTAGATTCCTTTATCAGGTAGCCTGCTTGGGCAAAGTATTTCAACAGGCTGGTCTTTGTCCTCCTGCATTGCTTTGTTTACAGTAGGGCAGATGCTTGCCTTATTCATCTCTTGAGAGAAATCCACCACTCCCTTTTTACTAGAATTTACAGCCATGGGTTAAAGAAGGGGTTCTCTACTTTTAGGTCTTTGGACCTCGTGAGATCCTATAGGGTTTTTCCTGATGAATGCTTCCATCTGATAAGAGTTTCACTAAGATGGTTGTGTGGTTAAAGAACGTGTACGTGAAAGCCTCTCGAATACGTCAAGAGTGATGCGTCAGATTTTCTGTATATTTCTCTCAAAAGATGAAGCCATGTTGTCAAGCCACATGTAGATTGACTCGTTGAGCCAGGTACTTTTCTGTAGCTAATTCCATTAATAAAAAACCCAATTGTAACTGGTTTCTCTTGGGATCACTAGTTACATCTTATTAGAAAGACTCAAAAAGCGGTTGTTTCAGAGCCATCAAATGTGTCAAAAGGAATGCACTGTTTAAAAAAACTGCACAATCCAATATGTGTCTTTCCTTACCAATGTATGAATCTCTGTCTGTAGCTTAGGTTCTGCTTATTCCAGCAGTTCCTTCTGTCTACCACACACACACGTTCAGTGGCTGGGAGACTTTGCGTTTCCAGTTCTATTGTGTGTCAGTCTTGGTCTGCTTCATCTTTTTTATTGGTGAGTCCATGAATAAGCTAGTATGTTTAGGTTTCTTGTCAACGAAGCCATGTAATTTTTTGCTTTATGTTCTTTTATGGCCATTGTGTGCATATTTCTTGGAAAGTATTTTAGCTCAGGTCATTGTTTTGCCTTTGCCTTTAGCAATTCTTTAGAAAAAAGAAAAAGAAAAATAATGCTTTCATAAGGAGCAATTTAATAGCATATCTACAGAAGTTTGCATAAAGCAGGAAGACAGCTATTTCCCAGTTTCCTGTAAGTCTTTAGTGCAGTTTATTGGTACTCTGGCTAATCTGAAGCAATTTCTGCAGTGTTCAGTGTAGGAGATGATAGGTTTTGTTTGTTCTGCAGTATCACGTTGGAATGAGGCTTGCCTGGTAACTTGATTTTTTTTTCAGAAACTATTATAAGCATCAGTCTGCGAAAGAACTGCATTTAGAAGTTTGGTCCACTACTTTGTGTGTAACTTTTCTCTTACATAGGGACTTTGTGGGAGAGAAGTTGAGGTGTTAGCTTTCTGTGTGCAGCTGCAGAGAGGAGACACCAGGGGGCAGCGGAGGCATTCAAGATAGCAAAAGTTTTGGTTTTGTCCATTGATGAGATTTACAAAGAAAACCATGGAGAAGGAAAACTGATTATTTTTTTATGACCCTTATTCAGCCCACTCTGAACA